CTCTTCTGTCAATCGTTTCCTTGCTCTTTAACTCTACTCTCTTTTTCTAGCAATTCCCAACTTGATAGTGGTTGCTTACAGCCTTGTTGGGAGTAAAAAAGAATTTAAAAAGTATAGATTATAGTGCTTAAATAGGTATATATTCTTATAATACTTTTAAAGGTTTTACCTGTAAACAAAGTCAAAATTAAAATTTATCCAAAAAAATTCTAAGTAATGCTAAAAGTTTAGTTTATTTATTATTTAATATAATAATGCACGATAAAAATATCAAAATGCCATTGTTTGAAAAATCGGTAAAAATGTGTATATATATATATATATCTATATATATATATATATATATATATATATATATATATATATATATATATATATATATATATATATATATATATATATATATATATATATATATATATATATATATATATATATATATATATATATATATATATATATATATATATATATATATATATATATATATATATATATATATATATATATGTACTTATATTATAAGTTTCTTTAAGCACCAAAAATGTTAATATTTTCATAGTTTGTCTTGTTAATGAAAATATCTTTAAAATACACACACACATATATACACATATATGCATATATATATATATATATATACACATATATATATATATATATATATATATATATATATATATATATATATATATATATATATATATATATATGTATATATATATATATATACACATAAATATATATATATATATATATATATATATATATATATATAATATATATATATATATATATATATATATATATATATATATATATATATATATATATATATATATATATATATATATATATATATATATATATATATATATATATATATATATATATATATATATATATATATATGTACTTATATCAAAAATTTCTTAAAGCACCAAAAATGTTAATATTTTCATAATTTGTCTTGTTAATGAAAATATCTTCTTTTTTTTTTTTTAACATTTACTTCCAACAAAGCTGCAAGCAACCCTTATTAGAGTCAGAAGTTATTTAAAGAGAAAAGATGAAGTTTATAAAGCAAGATAACAACAGATGACTTAAAAGATTGCAAATTATATGAATCAGGGAAACAAGATAAAGGTAGCGAATTCCAAAGGACTGATGTGCGAGGAAATAAATTAGACGAATAAGAAATTTTGGAGCACTTAGGAACAGTCACAATAAAAAGATGACTCTTAATTGAATGATGAGTAACAAGAGAATGAATTTTAGTAGATTACTAAAATTCATTTCATAAAAAAACTGGTGTGTATATAGTTATGATACATTGTTTCTAGTTTAGGATGTTGAATGCTGGATCTTCTTGACTCAATGTATGGTTTTTGCTTGTGTCTCTTTTTTTATGACTAGGCAACTCATTCTATTATCTCCTAATGAGGTACAGCTCTAAAACTCAGTTATATGGTTTTGAAGCTGACTGTTAGTTTGGTTTCTGAACTTTGTAGTAACTCTCAGTGAGGCTGATTCCATAAAGTGTTAGAGTACCAACAGTGTCATGTTGCACATGGATGGTGTCCCTGTTAATACTTTTGGTGTGCATTAATAAGGCCACATTTGGAACCCTTTGTTGACTTAGGGTTTATTGATAGTAACGAGGCAATTGCTTGGACTATTAAATAGTGCAATGAGTATTATCTATGCTTTGAGTCAAGTTCTTTAACAAGTTTAAAAATGACTAAAGTACTAAAAACTATAAAACTCAACAAACCATTGCCATCACCAAATTCTCTAAATCTATCATTTACTAATATTCGGGGTCTTTGAAACTTTTCTTCTGAGTATTATCTCTTGCAAAGTTCACCAGACCTACTTGCTCTTTGTGAAACTAATTTGAGTTCAGCTGTCTTATCTTGTGGTCTTAGCGTTGATGATTATTTTGCTTTAATTCAAAAAGATTCCAGTAGTTGCATGATTGGTCTAAGCATTTACATTCGTGAGAATTCACCCATTTGTCAGGAAACTAGGTTTGAATCCAAAGACTTTTCTTTTATGTGCTTTTGGTCACCACAACTTCACTCTATAACCTTTCTCTTTGTTCTATATCACTCTCCTTCATCTCAAGAGTGGACACTATTTTATACTATTTCTGATCAAGTTGGTCAAGCTCTTCTCTTTATCTTTCAGCCAATATCTTTGTTGTTGGTGACTTTATTGCTCATCACACTGAATGGCTTGGCTCTATTGTCAGTGGCTCTGCAGGCATTTAGACCCACAACTTTTGCCTTTCTCAATCTCTACCTCAAATAACTTTCCAAATTGCTTTCCAGACAATTCAATTCATTTACTTTCTCTAGTCGACTTATATCTTGTTTCTGAGTCTATTCAGTGCTCAGTTTCTCCGCATTCACTCTTGGGTGTTTCTGATAACAATATGATCTCTCTAAAACTACTATCTAATTCTTCTTCATCATCTGAATCCCACTATCATTGTACCTCTTACAACTAACTTAAAGCTGACTGGGACTCTTTCCATGATTTACTTCTTGATTGGCCCTTGGGTTGAAATCTTTCATTTTCCTGCTAACAAATATGTTTTTTATATAGCTTCTTGGATTCAGGCTGGCATGGAAACATGTTTTCCCTCTCAATAATTCCAAGTTAAGCCTCACTCTTCTCCATGGTTTTCATCTCGTACTGCTGCAATTTCCAATCGTAACCATTACTTTTATATCTATCAGCAAAATACTTTTCCAGAAAACAGGGGTCTGTTTACTATTGCTAAAAGTCATTATATAAAGGTTTCATCTAATGCCAAAGTTTGCTATTCTCAGGTCAAACTTGAATTTCATCTCAGAAATTATGCTCTCCTAACTTAACTTATAGATAATCTGTAACAGCATCTATAATAAGGGCAAATCTGTTATTCCACCTCTCTTGTATGGTTTAAATTTTGTCACCTCATCTAAAGACAAAGATGAATTGTTTGCTAAGAACTTCTTATCAATATCCTCTCTTTGCTTCACTAGTCTTCTTCTACCTGATATAGCCGATAAAAAGTTTATTTCATTGCCTCGTGTTCGTATTTACTCTAGCTTCTATATCTAAAATGAAAAACACTTCTGCTTAGACTCTTCTACAGCTTGTGGTCTGGATAACATACCTGTTAAAGTCTTGCAGAAGTGTTTTACGGAGCTGCTGTCTATACTTTCAAAACTATTTAACAAGTGCTTATCTGAGTCTTGTTTTCCAGCCTGCTAGAAAACCCCATCTGTTATCCCTATTATCTAAAATTCTGAAGAGCGTTCTGACTTATCTAACTACCATCCTATTACTACCTATAACTACCGTCCCAATAGTCTTTTTACTAGTCTTATTAGCAAGGTTTCTGAGACTTTGTTTTACAAACACCTAATCTCTCATTTTAAATCTAATAACTAACTTTCTGATTATCAATATGAAATTTGATCTTTTCATTCTACTGCTGATTCGTTAACGTTAATAACTGATAGGTTCTATCGTGTGTTAGATAGATGTGGAGAGGCTAAGGCTATCTTTCTCAACATTTCTAAAGCCTTTGATAAAGTTTGGCATGACGGTCTTCTCCATACGTTTTCTTCTTACGATGTATCATGTAATTTCTTTAAGATTATTGATTAATAAATCCTTCCTTACCAATCGTAGTAAAAGTTGTTCTCAATGGAAAGCACTCTTCTTATCCTGTAACTGAAGAGGTTCCTCAAGGTTCTATCCTTGGCCTTATATATTTTTTAATTTACATTAATGGTCTACAAAATTTCTCAAACCTAATATGGCATTGTTTGCTGATGATACTACCATTAATTCCTGTCTTGATAAAAAGCTAACACTCTCTGATTACTTAGAGGTGGCATTTGAGCCTGAAAAGGAACTCACTTCAGCTACATCATGGGGCTCTCAGTGGCTGGTGGACTTTAATTCAGATAAAACCCCAATTTTTTCAGCCAATCATTACTGCAATAATTTAGATCTTCCTAAATTTATGAATGGTGATGTACTTGACGAGTCATCTACCCTTTATCTTCTAGGATTAACTCTTTGTCTTCTAGGATTAACTCTTTCTGAACAATTTTGGAAATTATATATCAAATCCATTGCAAAATTACCATCTGCTAAGGTTACATCTCTTTATCATTCTCGCCACTTTCTTACTCTGGATTCTATTCTTTATCTCTAAATCTCAAATCCATCCTTGTATGGAATACTGTTTCCTTATCTAGCCCAGATCTTCCAATGATGGCTTTTCTTCTTTTAGACAAGGTGCAAAAACGTCTTGTAAACATAGTTGCTGCTCTTGCAGCGAACCTCTAACCATTATCACATTGTCATAATATTGCGTCTCTTTCTCTTTTCTTTAAATACTATAATAGACACTGCTCTAAAGACCTAGCATCTCTTGTGCCATCTACTAAAGTTCATTTTCATGTTTACTCATCATTCAGTTAAGTCTCATCCTTTTACTGTGACTTTTTCTAAGTGCTTTAAAAATTCTTATTCCTTTAGTCTGTTTTGTCAAACATCAGTTATTTGGAATTCACTCCCTTCATCTTGGTTTCCTGATTCACATAATTTGCAATCTTTTAAATTGTCTGTTAATTGTTATCTTGCACACAACTTTAATCTTTTTTCTTCCAGTAACTTTCAATTTTAATAGTGGTTGCTTGCAGCCTTTTTAAAAGTGAAGACAATAAAGAAAATTAAAAAAAGGCACAAGAGATGCTAGCTTCAAATCAGTGCCCATCATAGTATTTATAGTAAAGAGAAAGAGAAGTAACATATGAGAGAAACATTAGAGAAGCAACATATAAATGTGTGTGTGTGTGTGTGTGTGTGTGTTTGTGTACATGTATGTATGTTTGTATGTATGTATGTATTTATGTTTGTATGTATTTATGTATGTATGTATTTATGTATGTATGTATATATATTTATTAATGTAATTATTATCCACATGTTTTTTTAGTTTTTAATGGATATTAAAACATTCAGTATAATTTTAATGGTTTTGTTTCCATATTCGTGTCGTAAAAGTGATTACAAAAGGATAATATTCAGAGAAGATGTGAAAGAAAGAATGAAACAAAATTTTTTGATAGCATTGAATACAAGTAAAGCAGATGTAGTTGAGTTGTATACTAAAATGCTTGAGGAACACAAGAATCAACACCTTATTCGACTTCAACCTGAAAATGTATAAATAAATTCATTTAATATTATTATTTTAAATATAAGTTAAATAATAAAACATCATTACCTTTTTTTACATTTTATGTTAACTTGTTAATTGCATTCACTTGTTAAATAAAATAATAAGTAGAAAAGTAAATTTTATATAATATAAAATTGTGTAATATTTATCATGAAAATATTTCCTTTAATTAAAATTGGTTAAAACTTTAGCGCAGTTAAATATATTCACTAATAATTATATCATACACTACTAATTTTTATATTATATATTATTAGTTAGGGTTTTTTCGAAATTTTATTTCTAGGGTATACAATTTTATACCTAGGGTATAATAATAGGGTTCAAAATAGATGTCTGACATAAGTGTCCTTTAGGCCACTTCTAAAAACCACTAGAGGGGTTAACCAACTTAATTAATTTTTTTCAGAAAATATAAACAATATATAGTTACCCCCTCAGGCAGTTTTAAAAAATGCTTCAAAAGATGGTGATGACTATTTTGACCTCTGATTACTATAAAATGACCTCTGATTATATAAAGTCATTAGTAATTTTGATTATCATAAAATCATGTTTTGCTAAAGTCAAAACTTTTATTAAAAACTTCATAATTAAATATCTACCAGAAACTTATTTCCTAATTGATATCTTTCAAAAAAATATCTCACAAAAAAAAGATAAAACAAGTCTTATCAGAAAACTGATAAAACATCTACTAAAAGTTTTATTACATATCTATTTAAGAATTGAGTTAGTATGTAGTTTAGTAAGCATTTGAGTAAGCAAGTAAATACTTGAGTAAGCTAGTTATTCAATAATCTACCTCATATTTACCATCATTTCTACCATAAAGTAAATTTTTCAACTAAGGTTTACTTATAAAACTGCTTAAAAAATGAAACAAGTATAATATTTATTTCTATATTATTATGTATTTCTATATTCTATATATATATATATATATATATATATATATATATATATATATATATATATATATATATATATATATATATATATTCTATATATATATATATATATTCTATATATATATATATATATATATATATATATATATATATATATATATATATATATATTCTATATATATATTCTATATATATATATATATATATATATATATATATATATATATATATATATATATATATATATATATATATATATATATATATATATATAATTTTTTTTTTTTTCTGTATTTTTTTTGTTATTTAGAAAGTTGGACAATATCAAGTTATTGAGATAGAAAACAACAGGAAAACATCTGTCAAGCTTACAACATTGTCAAAACGTCGTCCTTTGATTTTTCAGATAGATAATTTCTTATTTGATGATGAGTGTGATTATATTAAAGAATTAGCTGAAGCTAAAGGTTTTATAAAAAGTAAAACGATAGGAGATTTTGAAGAGGAGCTTGCGACAGAACCTACAGCGTATGATCTTTTAGGAGATATACCTTTTCCAGCCTGGGATAACAATAATGATTCATTTATAGACCATTTAGAGGTAGTTTATTTAAAGTTTTATTTATTATAGTTTAAATACTCACAATATAAAGCAATCTTTTTGTGAATGCTTAAGAGGAAGTCAAAGAATCGGGATTACCATTCACTTTTTTCTAATTGGTTATAATGGCACCAACATTTTTTTACCTCTTACACCCATGAATTTTAGCGCTTTATGAGCTTTATATTATGAATTTGTTACATTAACGACATTTATATATTTTTTTGTTACACAGGTGATAATCATTTTTTAATTAATTATCTAGAGTTTAGACCATAAATAGTACCACATTTTCTTTTTATATTGTCCCGAACTACCATTTATTATCATTTTACTTACTATTTTGTTATCAGATTGTTTTATTTTATTGTTTTTGAATAGTGCGATAATTTTAGCCATGGCTACCATTAATAAACCAGGAGATTTATATTGACTTGTATACTCATAGACCATCGTCTTATCATTTGCTAAGGATGACTAGAGTGTGAGTTATGGTTCCCTCTTCTTCCTGAGTCAGTAAGTTTTATTTCTTCTACTAAATAGTCTTTACATTAATTTATGTTTTTTTACCTAAATGACATCATCTACAATCTGATTTTATTATCACATCTCTCAGGTCTATAAAAATGGATGGCTCCATTGGTCACTTTTTGTGATCTTTCTGTTGCATAAACAATTAAAACTACAATGAAAAAACGGATATTAGGCTATCCCACTGGATGTGGTTACGCCGCTCAATAACCTAATGACTACGCTGACAATCATGCACACGTTCATTCAGAAGCTCCACAATGCACATGGGATCAGTGTTCGCTGACTATGTGCTCAGATCTAAAATCTCACTTCATAGCACATCATTCCACACCAGCACGGGGTCGTAGCTCTTTTGGCTAAGAGTGATGGCTTGTGGCCTAGGGTGGCTAATGTGTGCAATCGATCAATTGAAATCTATTATGTAGGTCTTATGTCTGGCTCTGATGTGTTAGCCCATAAGTGCTAGAAGTGAGTGTGTTTAGCTTTCTATTCACCCGATTTGAAAGTGAACGAAAACTTAACGAGACCATACTAGACGACCAAACAGAACATTATAATGCACTACAACAACACAACTGTAGACATCAACAGTCTTTAAAATCAGTAGATCAAATATTTGTTCTTTGTTGCATATGTTCTACACACAGAGTGACTAGAACGTTAGTTGTTTCTCCCCATGGCCCCTTAACATCCATCCTTCGTTTTTCTACTTTACAAAAGTCTCGCCACATTTTACATTTTCTTATGATTTATATTTTTATTCAACGACACTATCTACAATCTATTTATATTTTCACTTCTTCTAGGTCTATGATACTGAGAGGCTCCATTGGTCATTTTGCGATCTTTGTGTCACATAAACAATTAAGTTATATGTAATATAATTTAAGTATTTATAACATTTATAATATATTTATTTAGCTTCAATCTGCATTAAAAAAAAGTTTTGATGTTCGCTTAGGATCAGTGATGATCAACGAAATGTAATTTGATTATTTATATTTAAATTAATATGTAATTTTTATTTATTATATAAAGTTTATAAATTATATATAATTTACATTTAGTTTTTATCTGATATTTAATTGTTTGTGATTGTTTTAAAATTGAAAATTCTTTTATATATATATATATATATATATATATATATATATATATATATATATATATATATATATATATATATATATATATATATATAGTATATATATATATATATATATATATATATATATATATATATATATATATATATATATATATATATATATATATATATATATATACAGAGGTGGCCTTCTCGGCCTTGAGGAGGTGAATAACAATATATATATATATATATATATATATATATATATATATATATATATATATATATATATATATATATATATATATATATATAATATATATATATATATACAGAGGTGGCCTTCTCGGCCTTGAGGAGGTGAATAACAATATATATATATATATATATATATATATATATATATATATATATATATATATATATATATATATATATATATATATATATATATGTATGTATAACTCTTAACTGGTTGTCAGAAAGTTTTTCCATATTTTGTTGACACAAAAAAAGAATTAAAATGCAAGACCAGATTTTTTTTTTTTATTATTTGATAGACTGCCTGCTTCAACCAAATCTTAAGTCGATGAGGCAGCACTTTATTGGGAGTCAGGCTATTTGTCAGTTAAGTAGCAGCACTCTGTTAAGAGTCAGGCTATATAGTCGATGTAGTAGCACTTCCTAGTTGCAGCAGGCTATAAGATAGTCGATGTAGCAACACTCCGTGCATGATTTGCAGTAAATAAATTAAAATAAAAAACATGTTATTAAAAAAAATGAAAATAAAAACATTGTTTAAATTTTTAAAAACATTCAGAATGTTTTTAAAAACATTCTAGTCAATTAAATTTGTGTTTTTGCGGTTTTTTTAAAAAAATTATTAATTTCCAATTAAATTAATGGTTTTAACTTTATGACAACACAAATGTTGGGGGAAAGTCAAAAGTAGTTAAAAGTGGCGTGTTTGTTTGTTTTATTTTTTGTCAAAAGAATCATTTTTTACCTTCTGTACTCTCAAATGCAACAATTTATATATATATATATATATATATATATATATATATATATATATATATATATATATATATATATATATATATATATATATATATATATATATATATATATATATACAACCCTCGGAATTAGGTTCGGCTTTGCCGAATACCGACCTAACTGCTAATCTTAAAGTGTTTGAGGTCGGCAAAAAATTGTCGACCTTGTTTTCATGTTTTAAGGTAATCCCTTTGTATCAGTTTTTTTTTTGCCGACCTTAAGCCGACCTCCAAAAGTTTGAGGTGGGCAATTTATCGCTAACCTCATTTTTCCAATTCTGAGGGTTGTATATATATGAATATATATATATATATATATATATATATATATATATATATATATATATATATATATATATATATATATATATATATATATATATATATATATATATATATTTAAACAATTTAAAATGTATTCTACAAAAAGAGTGCTCAATGTTCTTAAAAGAACAAAGCAATTACAAATTATGAAAAATTTTAAAAAAATTTAAAAAAATATATATATATATTTTGCCTTATTAGCATTTAGTAATAATTTTCAAATAAATAACAATTTAAAAAAATTTTTAACAACATGTTTTATCAATAACAATTGACATCATCAGGTATAAAAAAAATTTGTTGCATACAGAAATTTCACACAAACAAATTTTTATAAAGTATTTATAAAGTATTTTATAAAGTATTTTAAGAATTTGCGGCAAAATAAAGCTATAAGAAACTAAGAGAATAAAACAGCTATACTTGAAGAAAAGAACCAAAGATGTTAATCAAATTCAGTTGTTTCTAAATTTTTGCATGGAAGAAAAAAAATTAAAAGTTAATAAACCATTCGATTTTGCAACTTTTGTGGTTTGTTTTTTAAATTGAAATTATATAGAGCACATTTGGTAAAAATTCGTTTGTGAAAAGTTATGCAGTAAAAATAGACAAAAAGTTGACGTTTCTAAACTTTAGCACGCTACTATATATATATATATATATATATATATATATATATATATATATATATATATATATATATATATATATATATATATATATATATATATATATATTACTTTTAAAAATAAGACAACTTGTTTAGATTTATTTAAAAACATTTTATTAAAAATTTTATTAAAATATAGTATATAATTGTAAAAAACATAATAAAAGCCATAAAATTGTTATCAAACTTCCTATATACCGTAAAATTGGGTGGCTTTGGCCCTATGGGATGACTTTAGCCCAACAGAAATTTTTGTTTAAAAATGGTGTAAAATTGATACCTTGAGGTATGTTGTTGATGTTTAGTAGCAAATTGTGGGAAATTTATTATTTATTTAGTTTAACTTAGTTTACTTAACTCGAGCCTTTGTGAAATTATTGTAAATTGCACTTTAGAAAAAGCACCTAAAATCTGAATTTTTTTAGGTGTGTAAACTTTTACATCGATAGCAGTACCTGTTGAAGGTTTTTTATTGGAATATACACTAAATTAATTTTAAACCATTAGTGTTTGATTCTATCTTGTATTGAAAGCTTAACAGTTTATTACTTTATTATTGAGGTTAAAAAAAAATAGGTTGTCTTTGGCCCACTACATAGAGTGACATTGGCCCGGGCTAAAGTTACCCCATTTATTAGAGTAAACCTTTTTTAGTGATCATTTATAGATATTATGGTAGTTACTATGTTGGAATGAAAAATTTTGTAGTAGTAATGCAATAGAAAATCAGTATAACAGTTTGTATTAGTAAATCAGTATAAAATTATAGTGAAACTTGTTTAGTTCTTAGTTTAAATATGCCAAAAAATTACAAGCCAAATCGTGGAAGAAAAAAATGTTACTTATACTTTAGAACAGTTAGACAATGCATTAAAAGATTTAAAGAATGGTTTAATTACTCAAAGACAAGCAGCTTTGAAATACGATATACCAAGATCAACATTAAAAAATAAAATAAAACAGACATATCTTAAAAAGTATGGTGGTCAGCAAATATTTACATCAAAAGAAGAAGACATGTTTAAGGCATATGCAATAAAATTATCTGAGTTTGGTTTTCCTGTTGATAAATATAATTTAAGATGCATAGTAAAAGGGTATTTATACCTCAGAAGTATTTATACCATAGAAAAAGGCGTCATCATACCTCAGTTCAAAGATAATTTTCCAGGTGGTGATTGGATTTGATCTTTTTTAAAAAGAAATCCAGAATTCACAGTAAGATTTGCAAGCAACATAAAGCGAAAGAGAGCAGAAATAGGAACGACTGTGATTGATAACTACTTTATAAATCTATCAAATGAAATAAGTAATATATTACCTGATAATATATGGATCTATGATGAAACCAATCTCAGTGATGATCCAGGTAAAAAAAAAATATTAACAAAGCGTGGATGTAAGTATACTGAACGCATCATTAATTCTACAAAAACCTTATTTTCTGTAATGTTTTGCGGTAATGCTAATGGTGAATTGCTACCACCTTATGTTGTTTACAAAGCTGAGTTGTTATGGAATACATGGATGGAACATGGGCCACCAAAAGCACGTTATAACAGATCAAAAAGTGGTTGGTTTGACTCAACATGTTTTGAGGACTGGTTTTTCTCTTTACTTCTTCCAAGATTTAAGAAGGCTCAAGGAAGAAGTGTCATTATCGGTGATAATGTATCTTCACATTTGAGCATTGCAGTACTGGATGCATGTCAAAACAATAACATAGGATTTGTGGCATTACCAGCAAACTCTACACATTTCACGCAGCCATTAGATGTTGCCTACTTTAGACCTATGAAGATTAACTGGCGCAAAATATTATGTGAATGGAAGGAGAAAGGAAAAGAAAGGAGAGTTGCTTCTCTTCCTAAAGATGATTTTCCTAGACTTTTAGACCGTTTAATTACCAACTTAAATGAACATGGGAATGATAACCTTAGAGCTGGTTTTCTCAAAACTGGAATTTTTTCATTAGACAAGTCTCAAGTGCTTTCACGACTACCATGTTGTAATGTAGGTTTAGACTCAACTACTGATTTAGTAAGCCAATCATTTTTAGATCATTTATGTAAGTCACTAGATGATCCCTCAGATGGTTCTGAAAAACCTAAGTGACGTAAAGTATGTACTGTCCCAGGTAAAAGCTTATGTTCAACAGATATATCATTGTGTGTTATAAATGAAAATAATAGATTAAATTCAAATAATGTAGATACACCTATCAGTATTATAAATACAATTGAGACCAACAGCATTGATTTTGCTGGCCCAAGTACAAATACTGGAACTACTAAGACTTCTAATCTAATTTTTGCAGATGTAAGTTTAGTTGTAGAAAGTCATATAAAATCTTTAGATCATTCAGCGTTAGGCAAAAAGAACTTTCAAAATATTGATAAAACAAAAAATGTTTATAAAAAGAAGAAATTATTAAATCTTGTAGAGAATTGTTATGTAATTGTTAAATGCAATGGAGAGTTAAATCCTGGACAGGTTTGTTTATTTATTTTGATTTATTTATATTTAGCTAATCAATTAGTAAACTTTATAACTAATTAATTTAATAACTAATATTATTTAATGAAACTACTGAAAAATTTAAAAAAAACTTTCGAAATTTTTTTTTCTGCAGTTGAAAAAATTAAGAAAAAATGGAGCAGAAATTACTATTATGAAAAAAAATGGACTTAACTGAAAATGGTCACTACCAGCAGAGCAACTTTTTTTTCCATAGTCTGAAATAGTCGATTTTATTGAGGAACCAAAGAAAATTTCGAAAAGAGGAATTTATTCAGTTCCAGAACTTTTTCACTAAGTTTTTTAAAACATTATTTTTGTCATTTTTGTTTACTTTATACCTAAACTGTTTTGTTTACTTGGTACCTATACTTGTTTAGTTTGTACCTATATTTTATTTACTGTACACAAGAACTTTGTTACTAAATCTTTTTTTGTCACTTTATTTTTGTAAATTTATTTTCTTTGCCTAAATATTGCTGTTTTTATTGTAGTTTTGCTTCCTTTAGTTCCTTTTTACAGGGTTGGGCTAAAGTCACCCTAACACATAGGGCGACTTTGGCCCACCATTTAAACCACCCAAAAGATACTTCAGGTAAATAATTTTCAAATGGGAGACAGATAGTTTTAACTGTCCTTTCTATGTGCTTCTAAAAGTACTTAGTGTTTGAGGAAATAACTTTTGTAGCTTTCATGCAATAGACATTAAGATGCAAAATGGGCCAAAGCCAAAAAATCTTACAGTATACAAAAAGAATTATTAAAATTTTTTTAACAAATGTCAAATATAACAAAAGAAACCGGTAAATCATATTAAATTTCAAGTGTCATTTTAACATGATTTACTTGTTTATTCATATCGGGTTTTTCCCATCTTACATATAGCAAATAGGTTTTGATCCTCCCTCAAGGTTCATTTTTGTGAAAATGTCAATTTTTTTGTCAAAAATTGCTAGTTTCTGTGATGTTGAGGGAAGGTCTAGTATAAACCAATTTGGCTGAATTAAAAAAAAGGGCCTAGACTACATATATTTTGCATTTAAAATCAAACATATATTTGTTTTTATTTTATTACCAAGCATTTATTATTCAAATTATCCATAAATTTATGAGTTTTGTTGTGATATTAAGAAAGCATTTGGAGTATACAAATACATTTTTTCTAATATATTATAAAAATGTTTTTTGTCTAAAAAAGCATTTTTATAATATATTAGAAAAAATATATTGTACATTGCTTGCTACTTTAATTACATTTGTACATTAATTGCTACTTTTATAATATATTAGAAAAAATGTATTGTACATTGCTTGCTACTTTAATTAGTTATGTATTTGAAGGTAAGTTTTCTTGACATTCTTCCACCCCTTCCATTCTGCCTGCCATTTCCTAAAATAAAATAAATAGCAAATCATTACACTTCATGTTCTTTTACTTAAATTTCATATGAATTTATTTTTAAATAAAAAACAATTAATATAAAGCCACTACATTGATTTAAAATTTGAAATTTACATTTTTGATTTTGAATTTTAAAATTTAAGTAACTGAACAAGTATTAAAATGAGTTATCAGAAATACAAGATTTTGTGCAAAACAGTTTGAGATCTTTAAAAAAGATTTTTCATCGATAAAGCTACGCTTGCTATTTCAGGTATGTGTTGCATAGATATAAAAAAATGTACAGTTATCGATTCAGTTTTATGATATTTTGTATTTACCTGAAAAGAAGTCACATTCAATAAAACAAATGTCAAAAAATTGTTTACCTTAATATCGACGCCAATTCCTCACACTATTATACTCTGTATGATAAATGATGCACGCTTATTTATAATATTTAAATAGTATTGGTAATACTATTTAAATAAAAATCTATATGGTTTAGGAGCGCAAATTCCAACGGGTATGGATATCGTGCAATACTTTAAAAATTTGCCAAATGTAATTACAAAAAAGTTAGATTATTCTATACTGTCCTCCAAAATCAAACTTAAAGGTTGATAGGAATCAACTAGTTGAATGTGAATGTATCTTGGCAAAAATAAAACATCCATGGATTAAAGCAGGGTTTCCAGTTATTAGCGGCGTAAATATTCAAAAAAGTTTAAAAAATCTTGAGGAAAAATATTCTAATTTATTAAAGAATGTCAAAGGAAACTCAAAACAAGTTAATAAAAATCAAATAGAATTTGAAAATTTTGTTAAACGTATTTTTTGGATAGGAATTCCAGAACTCAACTCAGATACTCTACTATATGGAGTAAAGTATTAGTATATAAAATATTGATTTAATGAACTTTATTTTGTTTTTTGATTTACACTATGTTGATTCTCATTCACAAATTTAGTTTTTAATATACTCTATTGTTTGATAAATTTATTAAATATGGTCTAGCTTTGTTTTTGTCACTCTAATAAGTTTATTTTTATGTAAGGTAAAATTATTAAATATAAAGAAGTGCAAAAATGCAATGAAAAATGCAAAAACTGCAGATAGAAGAATGAAAAGAGTAAATAAAGAAATTTCCATTTTTTTTTTTTTTTAATGTTATTCACCTACTCAAGGCCGACAAGGTCACTTCAGATGAGGAGGCTACTTAATAGTGGTTATAACCCTCTCTCAACTTTATAACTCTGAAACACGAACCCTGACAAACAAGGCCGCTGCGCAGAGAAACAAGTTGAGCACGGTACTACCAGGAACGTGGTGGGGATTGAACTCGGAACCTCTCGCATATGAAGCGAGCGTTTTACCACTACACCAATATCGCAAATATTGCTAAAGAAGATATTAATACAAAAGTACGTTTATCTACATTCCCATGTATAATTCATTTTGATGGAAAAACTATATTTGAGACTATTAAAGGAAAAAACTCAAATGTGAGCGACTAGCTGTACTAGTAAATATTAATGGCAAATCACACTTGTTGGGTGTGTCTTCTCTACCATCCTCTTCAGGAGACAATCAATATAAAGGAATAATGCAGTTGCTAGATGAATGTGGTATTTAATCAAATGTTGGTGGATTGTGCTTTAACACAACAGCAACAAAAACTGACATTACAAAAGGGACTGTTAATAAAATTACCTATGATTTAGGTAAATATATTCTCCAGTTTGTTTGCAGGCATCATGTTACTGAGCTTCGAATAAGTCATTTTCAGAAACATGTTACTCAAAAAAAAAAGATAGGACCAGAAATTTTTTTTTTTTAAAAAGTTTAGAAATTTGTTTGACGATCTAGAATTTCATCACAATCCTGAAAACATATTTAGGTTTAATTGGTCATTAAAGGCTGGTACTGTATTCGAAAAAGCAGCAATAGATGCACTCAAATATTTCAAAAAGTATATTAAAAAGAAAAATATTGCAGGGAAGACAGAAAAGAACCAGCAGAACTAGTAATTATTTATTTATCGAAATCAGGAGTTATTAAAAAATAAATACCAGGTGCAGTTTATCATGTAAGATTTCTTAGCTTAGCTCTTTATTATACAAAGTTATATCTCTATCTAAACAATTAGATTTTATGATAAAAGAGGAAGACATAAAAGCTCAAGTAGAACAAATTGTAGAGTTTACTTATTGTTTTTATGCTCCATGGTACTTGCAAAGCCACAATCCTGTTAAAGCCCCTTACCTTGATATTACAACTCTACATCAAATGAATCTGTATAAAGATGTTTCCCAGTAAAAGAAACTGTAGATAAAGTCATTGACTCAATATTAAAACACTCTTGGTACTTGAACTCAACTTTGATACATCTTTCGCTTCTTCATTATAAAGTTCCTGATAAAGATAAAACACTGATCACCAAATCCAGATCTCGAATTAACACAAAAAAATCTAATATCGAAAAAATAATAATTTAAAAATAAGTTTCCCTTTTCAACTTTTTGCTTTTACAACTTTTAAAAAATTATTTATTATTGCTTCCATGCAGATATTTAAAGTAATTTAAATTCAAAAGTATTTTAGATTGAATGAAAATCTTCGCGCAAATGATAATCTATTCAGAAGATAAATTTAGCATGACATACTTTATGACAAAAACATTACTTTTAAGAATTGCCAAAAAAAATGCGAAACTAAAAGAAAAAGTTAACAACCAAAAAAAAAAATTGCAAAAATATTTTTTTAAGAAAAAAACTAATTACGAAGGTGTTAAAAAGCAATTGCGATTTGCGATTGCGATATGCTTAATTCAAGCCCTGAAATCAGTTTTATCTTACAAAATACCATCTTTAAAGGGTCATTCCATGCCAAGTGAACCAGGATCCATCATGGACCCCTCAGATTTTGATGAAATATGGTGGGTTCGTTTATATCAATGAGAAAAGCAATTCCTGAAAATTTCAGCTTGAATTCTTTTGTGGTTCATGAGATATCGCCATTTAAAATTTCAAATTTTTTTTAAATTATAACATGTTTTGTTCATACTTTGAACAAACATACTTTGTATTTTAAAAACAAAAATTCAGAAAACCTTCTAGTTTTTTTTTATTATATACAACTGTAGGTTTACTTTGTTAATACCTTGACATTGAATTTTTTAATGTCACATTTTATCTATAATGGCTGCTTTATTAACGTTAAAAATTGTTTGCAGATATAAAAAGTTGATTTTTGACGGGTCAATATACAAAATTAGCAACTTAAGAAGTAAAAAGAGATCTTTTTAGTTTCTATATATGGCAGGCTTCCTTATATTAAAAAATTTGCTGATAACATATGATTCAGTAAGAAATAATGGACTCCTAAAAATGGCTCCAGGTAAAACTTTAAAAATTGTGCCTTTCCTTTAAACCACCGGTAACCTAGGATCAAAACTGATTTTCATAATAAATTTTTTTTTTACTGATTTAAAAGACTTCATTAAAGTGATTTCAGAAAAAAAATTAGTGAGTATTCATAGGGAAGGGACAAAGTCAGAGCAATGAACTTGGCACAAAATACATTAAAAACAATAAAAATATAGGCATTGATGTACTTTAGTTTTCATTATCTACTGCAATACAAAAAATATATATGTATAAAAGTATATCATAATCATTACTTGGAATGAGCTATAAGACTGAATTAAAATCAGTTTTACAATAGCTTTAGTTGCCTCCCCTTACCCTGTCCATTTACTTTTTAACACACATATTTTAACACAGAACCTTAATCTTAAAAGGAATTTGTTATTGAAGGTTTCATTGATTTTTTTCAATTGCATGAAGTATCTTTATGCGCAAAACAAGAATTGAACATACACATTTAAAAATGATAAGCAAGTTATTGGATATACTTTCTATTTTTATTTTATATATAAAATTTATCATTTTGTATTTAATTATTATGTCAAAACTCATGGAAACTTTACTTTACACTTCAAAAATTGAAACTAAATGAATTCTTTAAGATAATAATTTTAAATAAATGGCTAGTGCATCTTTAGATCTAACTCAATGTTGCATTGGAAAAGCATTAAATAAAGATTGTCATAAAGGAAAATTTACCAAATTCATGAAAATCAAATTTTTGATGAATTAACCAAAAAAGATCAAGAACTTGTACACTTACGATGTAAAGTTAATCACATAAAAACTATTTGTTATCACTATGAAAAGATCTTCTTGAATAGATTTAAGTCTTCGTACAATTGAAGCTTTTGTTGTGATCCATTTAACAAAATAACTTGAATTAATCAGATATTTCAAAGATAAAGGCTTATTTAATGTTTTATCATTTTGTTTCTTTTTAGAATCTGTTAGAGTAATCAGTGTTGCTGTTAGAGTAATCTTGCTGTTGCAAAGTAATTTGATTTTATGTTCATAAGCTTTGTACAGAATGTCGTAAAATATTGTATTTAAAAAATAACAAAAAAGATTATGAACGCGATTCATGTAAAAAAGATTATGAATGCGATTCATGTAAAAAAGGTTATGAACGTGATTCATGTAAAGACAAAGATTTTAATGAGAATCATATTTCAAAAGAAAACTTTAATTTAAGCATTAATAGCCTTGGTTGTTCACCTCTAAAGCTAGTAGCCCATAAAGAAAGAGTCAGCTATGCAAAAAGAAGTTCTCTCGATTTAAATAAATGATGCACCAAAAACAAAAGAACTATGTTGCGACAGTAAACAAGATTTGGACTCACTAATGGAGTTAATTAAAGCAAAGTTTGATATGTCTTCAAAATCAGAAAAACTTAAATTACTAACTTTGGTTACTGAGAGTTGAAACATTGACTATACACAAAGTTGTGATAATTGTCCAGATACTGACACACTTTAAGAGTATCTTACTACTACATTTTATAAACATAGCATTGAAGAAATCACATTTAATCAGTGGCAAAAAGCTTACAAAAAATATGATATAGTTCCAGTAACTCTTCTAATGGATAATTTTATTGAAAAACCTTATCAACAAATAGACCAATTAAAAGGCCATCGCTATATAGCCAAAAATCAAACAGCATATTTGCAGCATCTAAAAATCACATTACCAACTAATCATATTTTAATATTACTAGACTTTGCTGAAAATTACAGTTTTTTAATTCAACGTGCAGTACAAGGTTTCCACTGGAACAACAGCCAAGCAACATTGCATCCTTTTTTTATTTACTTTATGAAAGAAAATAAGATAAAATGTAAAAGTATTTGTATCATCTTAGATCATTTGCAACACAATACAAACTCAGTTCATTGTTTCATTTATGAAGTATTAAAACATTTAAAAGAGTTGATACCCTAATTCAACCAATGCGTTTATTTCAGTGATGGTGCAAGTTCACAATACAAAAATTATAAAAACATATCTTACTTGTCACTATGAAAAAGATCATGCAGATTGGCATTTTTTTTGTTACATTGCATGAACAGAGTGCTTGTGATGTGTTGAGGGCACTGTCAAAAGATTTTTAGCAATTTTACAATTTTTAGCAAGTTTACAATCATTAACTGATCCTAACAATTCATCTGAGAAAATGTATGATTGGTGTAGACAAAATATTAAAGAAATACATTTTCAATACATTTCAAATGATGCAGTTACATTACATTGCATAAATTTTAAATTAGAAGAACGTTATGCTACTTGTTCAACAATTCTAGGAACAAGAAATCACCATTGTTTTATACCAAAATCATTAACAACTTTACAGATGTGACAAGTGTCGTTCAACAATGTGTTTACTAATGTAAATATTTCAACAATGCAGCAGAATTATACGATTCCACTTGCCTCTCTTTCACCAGGAATTTATATAGCATGTGTTTAAGATGAAAAATGGTTTTTAGGTAATATTGTGAAATATCTGATGAAAATAAAGATATTCTTATAAAGTTCATGAAGCAGTCTATTTCCTCAACTACTTTCGCTTGGCCACATAGAGAAGATATTTGCTGGGTTCCAATTATGCATGTTCTATGCAAAATTTCATCTTTAAAAGTCAATCAGCAACTGTTAGATGCTATGAACTATCAGTTCATGAAAAAACTGAAATACTAAATTTGTACAATAATATATATAATAACAAAATTATATAACAACATGGCAAAATTGTTATTAATTTGATCTATCCAAATTTTTTATCAAAGCAAATTTTAGTGATTCAATTTTTATATTGATTTTTTATTAAATAGTAATGTGTAATATATTTATTACATAATATATATTACATGATAAACTTTTGTATTGTAATGACAAATCAAATAAATCAAATATCACTTGGTATAATCTGTAACCTAAATTTAGGCGATGATAATTAAATTAATAAGGGCGGAATACTTGGTATAACCTGTAACCTAAATTTAGGCGATGATAATTAAATAAATTAATAAGGGCGGAATAGTGAATGCTTTGGGAAAAATTATACAAAATTTATAGTCAGAATATGAAATAGTAAGAAAAAAAGTGATATGAAAACAAATATGAGTTAGGCAGATAATAAGAATAAAACAAAATGTTTTTATTTTCATTATTTATACTTTTATATCTACTCTAATTACTATTTAACTTTACAAATGTCACAAATTTTATGTGACACACTGCTTAAGGTAAAAATTTTGATAAATAATTAATAAAATTAATCAAGAAAAAAGTTTTTTTTTATGATAAGATGTTCTGTATAAAAATATGCATGTTAAAAAGTAAATGGACAGGGTGGGGGGGGGGGGGAGACAACTAAGGCTATTGTAAAACTGAGTTTAATTCAGTTTTAGTTTATAGGTTATTCCAAGTAATGATTATGATATACTTTTATACATATATATGTTTTTTGCACTGCAGTAGATAATGAAAACTAAAGTACATCAATGCCTATATTTTTGTTTTTAATGTATTTTGTGCCAACTTCATTGCTCTGACTTTGTCCCTTCCCTATGAATACTCACTAATTTTTTTTCTGAAATCACTTTAATGAAGTCTTTTAAATCAGTAAAAAAAAAATTATCATGAAAATCAGTGTTGATTATAGGTTACTCGTGGTTTAAAAGGAAGGCACAATTTTACAGGTTTTACCTGGAGCCATTTTTAGGAGTCCATTATTTCTTACTGAATCATATGTATATATAATATCAGTAAATTTTTAAATATTAGAAAGCCTACCATATATAGAAACTAAAAAGATATGTCTTTTCACTTCTTAAGTTGCTAATTTTGTATATTGACCCATCAAAAATCAACTTTTTATATCTGCAAACAATTTTTAACATTTTTTAGGCAGCCATTATGGATAAAATGTGACATTAAAAAATTCAATGTAAAGGTACAAAGTAAACCTACAGTTGTATATAATAAAAGAAACTAGAAGATTTTCTGAATTTTCATTTTTAAAATTTAGAGCTTCAAGTATGAACAGAACATGTTTTTGCTAAAGAAGTTTTAATCTTTGAAAAAATTTCAAATGGTGATATTTCACGAACTACAAAAGAATTTAAGCTGAAATTTTTAGAAATTGCTTTTCTCATTGATATAAACCAACTTACCATGTTTTATCAAAATCTCAGGAGGTTTACTGCTGTTATTCTTTTTACGGTTGTAATACGGTTTACTACTCTATACTAAGAAAGCATTTGGAGTATAAAAATACATTTTTTCTAATATAACAAGACCATTAAACCGGCCTTCAAATTGAAAAGCATGTCCCCTCTCCCTTTTTTTTTTTTTTTTTTGATGATTTTTTTTAGTTATATATAAAATTGAAAAAGGGTCCCCTTTTCACTTTGAAGGCCGGTTCAATGGTCCTGTTATATTAGAAAAAATGTATTTTTATACTCCAAATGTTTTTTTAGTATGACAACAAGCTCATTTTTCATATGTTAAATAAAAGAATGAAGCTCAAGCTTCATTCTTTTATTTAACATATGATTTAATATATATATATATATATATATATATATATATATATATATATATATATATATATATATATATATATATATATATATATATATATATATATATATTCTTAAAGAACGGAGCAATAATAAATTAGTAAAAACACTTATAATTTTTATTAATTTTTATTTTACTTATTAATTTTTATTTTCTTCTGCAGCTTGTTTTTCCATCAGTAGGATCATTGGAAGCTTCCTGATGATCCTACTGATGAAGAAACAAGCTGTAGAAGAAAATAAAAATTATATATATATATATATATATATATATATATAATTTATTTATTTTAGAATGAAGAAAACATATATATATATATATATATATATATATATATATATATATATATATATATATATATATATATATATATATATATATATATAATTTATTTATTTTAGAATGAAGAAAACATTTATGGATTTTAATTCAAATGGTAAGATTAATTTTTAATACTACAGTATTTCAGAATTTAACTTTTCATTTTGGTTTTTAGTCATTGTTTATAAATTTTGTATTTTATTTAACTAAAAACTCTAAGAAAGTTTGCACATAGAGTGGGAAGAGCCCAATATCAGTAAACAAGTGAACCATGTAAATAATAAAACTTTCTATTTATTATTTCAATTTAAGTTCCTCAAGATTCACTTTTAGGGACAATTTTTTTTTATGAATTTTAATGACTTACACAATGCAGTAATATTTTTATTAAAACTATATGCCAATGATTGTAAATTGCTTTAATTGACTATGAATCATATAGAAAGACAAAGAAAGCTTTCATACAATATTTTATCAATGCAAGAATGGGCAAATGTATGGTTTATTTGTTTCAATTTTATTAAATGAAAAATTTTGAATTTCAAAAAAATGTTTAATTGATTTTATCTAACTGTATGTATGCAATTATTTTTATCTAAATGTATAATGTAAATTTAAGTATGTTTAACTAATGATGATGAACAATAATAAGTAAATAGTGACAATGAGTAATAATATTGGTGATGATATCAATAATAATAGTAGCTATATTATTCATTAAGAATTGTTTCAAAAAAGTATAAAACAAAATCATTTAATCTTTTAAAGAAATGAAATACGATATAAGGCTTAGAATACTTAATCTGGAATCATTAGGAAAAAAAAGGTTTTGACCTTATAAAAACTTGAAAAGACTTGTGTTGACCTTATACAAACTCTTATTGTAGAGAATATTATATTGTTTAGATAAAATTTTATTGCAATGATCAATTGCATTTACCACTAATAAGTTATTGGGCAAAAGCAGTATTAGATATCATAATTATAACTTTAGGCTTGCAAGTGAATGGTCTCTAAAATGTTCTACAGGACATAAATTTTTTCAAAATGTTTTTCAAAAAATGAAGACAGAAAGTTTATATAAAACATAACTTCTTTACAAATGTTTTACAAGAACTTCTTTTTTATTACTCTACTAGACATGTTTTAGAAAAAAAAGTCATTGGTTTAAAAAAAAACATAATGCACATTTTGGTACTGTTTTTAAATTTTAATATAATTTTGGTTTATTTGAAACCTAGGTTGACCTATTTGTAACATGAGTTAGTCAGATACTTGAGACATTATGTTGAGGCATATTATATTATCAAGGGCTGATAGCAACCTTAAAAATAATATTTATAATGATATTTTTCATTATTAGTTTTTTAATAAAGAAAAAAAAACTTTAATGGTGCGTGTAGATTCAATAATATATTTTTTTTGGATCATCATGTTGTGGGGCTTTCTCTAATAAAATATTTTTAAATATTTTTTTAGGACTAATAGAGGATTGGGAATGGAACATGAAAAACATAACTACATTAGTTTTAATGTTGAAGGAAGCAAAAAGAGTTAGCCCGTCTTCATCGGCTAGATTTAGTGAGTCACAGTGGCTCTCGTATGTAAATGATAGCATTCTTTTATCAATACAAGATAGGTAATGGCAACATTATTTTATCAATTTAGATTTTAACTTATATAGATTATCAAAAAATAAACTTTTCTAAAATTTAGATTGCACAAAGTTACCAAACTTCCATTGGAAATGATAAAAAATAGTGAAGCTTTACAAGTTAGTTATTTTTTAGCCTCCCACTCTAATGGTCTACTGACTCATTTTTGACAGGTCTGTCAAAAAAAAATCAACAAGACATTTCTCTGATGATTCTTTACTCTCTTTTAAATTTCAATAATTTTTAGGTAGTCAAATATCAACCTGGTGGTCATTATGATTGTCATTTAGATAGTGATCCACAATATTTTTCAGATAGTGCTAATACATGTTGTCATACTCTTTTTGCTGATAGTGGTTCTGATGAGAGTGATTTATGTTCACCATGTAGGTTAGTATTTTTTTAGCTCTCAGTTTATCCAATGTGTCTGTAAAAATAATAATAAATAAATTTGATACTAGTTAATAATGTTAAATAAATTTGATATTATTACTGGTAAATTCTGTACCCCGGTATTCTAGTTTTGAAATTGTTTTATCTTGGAATCTGGGGAGAATATATTTTTAGTTTTAACTAAAATCATAGTTCAAATATAACAAACAAACTGTTTCCAGCACAAATTTATTGTAGCTCTAATCTAAATTATTTTTTTAAGCACTTGACTTAAAGCACAGATAGTACTCAGACAGTAGCCGGATGCGCATTAAGGGCATCCAGCTACTGTTTCGAAGAAGACCTCCTAAGTTAAGACTTAAAAAGTAAACAGATTCTAACTGTTGACCAGCTTTGCACCCCTTCTTCGTCTAATAGGCTGGCATAGATGTTTTATAATACATTGTTTCCAGTTTAGGATGTAGAATGTGGATCTTCTTAACTCAATATATGGATTTTGCTTGTGTCTCTATTTTTATGACTAGGTCACGCCAGCTGGTAGTCAAGTTTCTTGAACTCTATGGTAGCTCTCAGAGAGATTAATGCTATCAACAGCTGTAAATAATCAGAATAATAACAGTGCCATATTGCGCTTAAATGGTACTCCTGTTCATACATTTGGTGTGCATAATCAAGGCCACATTTTGAGCCCTTTGTTATGCCCAACTCAAATAGTCAATTTTCCAACTTGCTTTTCTGACAATCCGAATCATTCACCTTCTCTATTCAACTTATGTCTTGTTTCTGATCCTAGTTAGTGCTCAATTTCTCCACTTCTGGAGAGTATTGTGACTTGTTTAACTACCTACCCATTAGTCTTCTTCCTATCATAAGCAAGATTTTTGAGTCTTTAATTAACAAAAACATAATCTCTCATCTTGAATCTAATAACTTACTTATTGATTAACAATATGGAGATCCATCTTCTCGTTCTACTGCTGATTTGTTATTGGTAATAACCTAGAGAGGTTATTATGTGGAGAGGTTAAGACTATTGCTCTCAACATTTCTGAAGCCTTTGATAAAGTTTGGCCAATTAAAAAAAAATCAATTTAAAATATATATATATACATATATAAAAAATCAATTTAAATCAATTTTTTTCAACTAATCATTATTGCAATAATCTAGATCTTTTTCTAAATTTATGAATGGTAATGTACTCAATGAGTCATCTACATTTCATATTTTAGAATTAACTCTTACTTCTGATTTTTCTTGAAAACCATATATCAAATCAATTTCAAAATTAGCATCTTCTTAGACTCTTTATTGTGCTCTCCACTTTTTTACTCCTGGTTCTATTCTTTATCTCTATAAGTCTTTAATTCGTCCTTGTATGAAATACTGTTGCCATATCTGGGGCGGATCTTCCAATGATGCTCTTTCTCTTCTAGACAAAGTGCAAAAACACATTGTAAACAAAATTGAACCAGCCTTGTCGCCAACTTCCAACCATTATCACATTGTCATAATAATTCTTCTTTCACTCTTTTCTATAAATATTATAATGGGCACTGCTCTAAAGAGCTAGCATCTCTTGTGCCATCTACTAAAATTTATTCTTGTGTTACATGTTGTTCAATTAAATGTCATCCTTTTAATGTGCCTGTTCCTAAATGCTCTAAAAGTTCTTATGCGTATAGTTTTTTTCCTTGAACTTTAGTTTTTTTGAATTTGCTTCCTTCATTTTTTTCCTGATTCATATAATTTTCAATTTTTTAAGTCTTCTGTCAATCGTTATCTGGCTCTATAGACGTTATCTTTTCTCTTCCAGTAACTTCCAACTCTAATAGTGGTTGCTTGCAGCCTTGTTGGAAGTGAAGATGTAAGGAAAAAAAAAACTCAAGTCTTAATCTACATTCTGCAACTGTTTTGTGAACAAGCGCCAGTGTTAGATATATCAACCTGTGACTTTATTAAATTCTTTAATTCTTCTGAGTTAGATGCCCACTTTACTAATTCATTGTCACATTGTGACATTAATTCATCGTCGCATTGTGAGCTCATTTAAAAAAATTTAAAGGCATCAGCAAATCCAGTGGTATAATTATCCACAAACAAATCACAAAGAAACTGTGAAACAAACTATTTGAATTCTTTAACATTTTTAAAATGCTCTGGTATAGTCCAAAAACAACACATTTTAAACAAAATATTATTTTTTCTGGGTTTTATGAATACAAATACTAATATTCAAAAATGCTTGTTTTTTTTATTTTTTTATTTTTTTATTTTAATTCACCTCCTCAAGGCCGAGAAGACCACTACAGACGAGGAGGCTACTTATTTGTGGTTATATCCCTCTCTTAACTCTATTACTCCGAAACACGAACCTTGACAAACAAGGCCGCTGCGCGGAGAAACGAGTTGAGCGCGGTACTACCAGGGACATGGTGGGGATCGAACTCGGAACCACTCGTTTATGAAGCTACCACTACACCATTACCGCATAAAAAAAAAATGTGCTGTGCTGAAAAACATGAATTAATGTCTGATATTAAAACAATCTTGTGGAATTATTAAATTAAATAACAAGGTCATCAAACAGAATATAGACAGTCATTTAGTAAAGAATTTTTATCAATTTTAGAAGGTTCATCAAATACTATTCTCATTTTAGAAGGTTCGTCAAACACTATTCTCACTTTCATTATGTCTTTATCCAATAGTATAACAGCTGTATGAGGTATATAATAAATTTTTCCTGGCAAGCCAGAGTCTGTAACCTGAATAATTCTATCATTCAAGTATTGGATAAGTTTTCAAAATCTCGATTTTGCAATGGGAAAAAGACCACAACTGTTTAGGTGATTTTTAAACTTTATAGAAGTGCACTGAAAAAAAAACGAAAAAATATTTTTTTTTTTAATTTTCTTCCTAGTTTTAACTTAAACTAGGAAGAAAATTAAAAAAAATAATGCAAAAAGAAAACTTACAAAAAAGAACATATATAAGCACTAAAATAAAACTTAAAAACTCAAAATTGAAGCCAAATTTACTTTTTATCATATTTTTAATTGCGTTTAAAAAAATTACTACAAAACTTATCTTTGGAAACTTTTTATTAAAGTTACACAAAGCGCTTTTACAAATTACTTCTAATGATTGTTTACTGAATGAACTAACTTTATTTTAATTATTAAAAGGTGTTATATATATATTATTTTTAAATTGTATAAACATTTATTTTTTCGAAAAAATTGCACATAAAAAAAAATTAACAAAATAATGTAGTCTATTTAAAATAGTAAGTTTTAATCATTCCATGTTCTTATTAGTAAGTCAAGTTAAAAAAAAAGTTTTAAACAATTCTTTGTAAAAATAGAAACATAAAAATAAAGCAATTAAATTTCATTGCTATGGAAGATTTAATTTCACTTTAATTAATTTAAAGAAACTTAAAAAGTTATCTTTCAAAAGATTTTTAGAAAGACATGAAAAAATAGTTTCAAATATTTAAATTTATCATTAAAAATACATGCCTATATAAAAAAAAATTTAAATAAGATGATTTGTTAGTTTACACAAAATGCATTTATTTTTCACTATAATTAATTTTTTTACTTTATTTAAAGCCTTCGAGTAAAATAGTTTTGGAAAAGATCAATGATTAAAATTTTTTCATAATGTAATATTTTTTAAAATAGCGTTTAAATTGTTAAAACATCAAAACCCCCATGGTCAAATTGTAAAGAAAAAAATATATAAGCGTGGTCAGTTACAGCGTGCGATTGCAGGCCATTCCTGTCGAAGCCTGCATCTAAAGTTTCCAGAATGTTTGCTTCATCTAAAGCAAATGGTTTCATTAAAACTTGTTCTTGTTATAATACTTAATTTTTTTTTTAATGCTTTAGTACAATATGTTCGCTGACTACAACAATCAAATAGTTTATTTTATTTTAGTGAATAATAATTTAAAATATTTACAACAACCCGTAATAAATTTATAGACTTTTGTAAAATCTTAAATGTTCAGTATTTTTAAATTACCAACGACAATGTGCTACATAAGGCACCTCTTTTCTAACAGTCTTAAGATACTCGTGCACATCTGCAATATAAGTACCATACTTTAAAAACATAATAGAGTAAGACCTAAGATATAACATGACTCTTTGCTGCTCAGCAGTGCAATGTTTAATCTCAGAAATAATTTTTGTAGCACAGTTTTGATCATTTTCTAGCGCTTCTATGTCTGCCCATTAGTACGGTGACCACGCCTACTCCAGATGAGGAAGATTAATCATATTACAAGTCAGGTCATACAAAATGACTGTTACAGTTTATTAATAACTACTGTGTTCTCCATTGGCAGCACAAATTTCCTGGACACGTTTTGGTAGTGATTCAACCAACAAACAGAGATAGTCAACAGTCACAGAAGACCACTTGTCTTTCACCCGTTTCACAAGTTCAACTCTATTTTTTGGCTTAGGAGTCTCAAAGACACTTTGTTGAAGCAAGTTCCATAAATGTTCAATTATATTAATATCTGGACTGTTCCCAGGCCACAATTCTTTTGGAATCATTGATGGAAAGTTTTTTGCACAAAATTGCTGAATGATTTTTGCTGAGTGTGCAGGTGCACCATCTTGCTGAAAAAGAATCATATCTTGATTAAAAAACATTTTTCTCTTAGCAGCAGTATCACCTTGATGGTTTCTTGTAGTAGTCTCAACATATTTTGGTAAAATGTGATTCATGTAATAATCAGCATTAACTGTCTGCTTCTCTGGCACAACAACCAATTCAGTCAATCCATACCGTGACATACCACCACACACCATAATTTTCAATCCAAACTTAGGACAAACAGCTGGAGTGATCTTTGATTTGTCATCGGTCCGTATTCGCATATTTGGAACTGGAAATAACTCAACAGGGCTTTCGTCTGTCCACAGAACATGGCCTCGTTTTTGTCTACCAACATGGTCATCTTGAAGGTAACCATTTTA